TTAATCGTGCTAATGCGAAACCTATACTTGGACCAGGAGGCAGTCGTCAGAACAGAGCAGGGCAACACTGCATGGTTCAAAATTGGTAAGGGTGTACGCCAGGGATGTGTCCTGTCTCCATACCTTTTCAATCTGTATGCAGAGCAGATTATCTGAGAGGCTAGTCTCTACGAGAAGTGTGGAGTTAGGACTGGTGGAAGATCTATTAACAGTCTGCGTTATGCAGATGACACAACCCTGCTTGCTGAAACTGAGGAGGACCTCATGCACTTACTGCAGAGGGTCAAGGACTGTACCCTTCAGTATGGACTGAGGCTCAACGTCAAGAAGATAAAGATTCTCACCACTGGACCCATCGGTAGCATCAGGATGGATGGCGAAGAGATTGAGATTGTTCACAGCTTCAGTTTGCTCGGCTCCACAGTCAACACTCTTGGCACCCGTAGCCAGGAAATCAAAAAACGTATTGCGATGGGAAAGTCTGCGGTTAGGGACCTCTCTAAAGTACTCAAGAGCAACGGTGTCTCTCTGATACAGGCCATGGTCTTTGCAATCATTTGTTATGCATCAGAGAGTTGGACAATGACTAGGGAAGACAGAAGGAGAATTGAGGCCTTTGAGGTGTGGTGCTGGAGAAGAGTATTGAATGTACCATGGAGTGCCAAGAAAACAAACAGATTCATCCTAGAGAGGGTTAAACCAGGCTACTCCTTGGAGTCAAGGATCCTGGGGCTTCGTCTGACACACTTTGGACATGTTGTAAGGAGAGACACGTCCTTGGAGAGGGACATCATGCTTGGTAGGGTAAAGCGACAGCGCAGGATTGGAAGACCCTCTATGAGGTGGATTGATTCAGTGACTGGGGTAATCGGGATGGGTTTGTTAGAGGCAATGTGATTGGCACAGGATAGATCAGGGTTAGGGCTGTTGTACATAGAGTCGCTATGAGTCGCAAGTGACTCGACGGCACATAACCACAACAACAACAAATCTAGGAGCCATGATATTAGTTGTTGTTGTTATGTGCCGTTGAGTCGTTTCCGACTCATAGCGACCCTAGCAGCTTAAAATAACTAAAATTAGGAAATCAGGGGATGTATTACACTGGGAAAATCTGCAGTTAGGGACCTCTCCAAATTATTGAGAAATTATTGAGGAGCAATTATGTCAGTTTGAGGACTAAGGTGCATCTGAATCAGGCCACGTTATTTTCGATCACTTGTTATGCATTTGAGAGCTGGACTATCAATAAGGATGACAGAAGAATTGAGGCCTTTGAGCTGTAGTGTTGGAGAAGAGTAATGAACATGCCATGGCTGCCAAAAGAACAAATATGTCTTGGATAAAGTGAAGCCAGAGTGCTCCTTGGAGGCAAAGGCAAAGGTGATAAATCTTCACCTCACATACTTCAGACATTTTGCTAAAAAAGGCTACTTCTTGAGAAAGGACATGATGCTAGGAAGAGTGAATGGTCGGCGAAGAAAGGAAGATCCTCAAACAGGTGGACTGAAACAGTGACTGCCACAATGGACTCTAGTGTGTCAGGAAGTGTGAGGATAGCACAGGATAGGATAGGGTTCAGATGTGTTGTTCGTAGGGTTTGCTATGAGACTTGACAGTAACTAACAACAACAAATTAAAATTCTTCTCTTGCATATTTATTGCAATTTCTAAGGGGCAGCAGGTAATCTTAAACTTTTATATTCTTTTAAAAGACATAATCCAAAATTTTCCAAGTTTTATATCAAACAAAGGGGATAAAAATCACTCTGGAGAGTTACTTCCACATTTTCATAAACTTAGAATGTCAAAATTTTCAATTTTTGCATTCTCTAAGAAAGGGGATCTGATGGTGAGCTAGTGGAAAGCCAAGGTCATATAGCTTAAATTGTGCTAGTGTTACAATAAAAAATTTAAACCGCTGAATCCTATACTCTCATACCTGGAGCTTACCAAGGATCTCTTACCTCTGGTTGTTGGTTATCTGGTTGTTCTTCATAGGAACATTAAAGTCCACTCTGCGGGGAGGAAAAAAGCAAGTTTTAGATTTAAGGCCATGACGAATATACTGCTACCTCAAAGTAGGAGAGGTACTTGAATCAGTAAAATATGACATTCAAAATGCACCTTGAAAATAAAGAAATCAAGACAGTGAATAGCTATAAAAGAGTTGGGAACAGCTCTGGTAATGTTCTTTTACAGAGATCTTAACCTGGAGAATTATACAAATGTGCTCATTTTCTGATAATCTTTTGGGCTTATTATTCTGACCCTTTGTATATTATACCTTAAAAAATAAATTTTTAAAAATTGAAAATATAACCTAAATTATTTCATAGGAACTAGATCTGAAGGCTTGGAAAGCTAAAATCAACTCTACTTCTATCTGAGCCTTGTCTATAAGTATCTAAGAGTTGCTAACTGGAAAGTAAGTAATGATTATCAGATAATTTTGATTACTTTGAAACTATTTTTGGGTCTCTGTAAGACTGAGATCATACAAAAGAGGGAAAAAAACTGGAAAAAATAACCACACCAACAAAATACCATCCTTTTGAGACAATTTGAGACTAAGAAGAAGAGATTTATAGTCCTAGAACCTCTTAGGGTACAGTTCTTTGCCTTATAGGGTCACTGAGTCGGAGTTTATTTAACAGCACATCTGGAGTTGGTGTAGTAAGAAATATACAAGAATAGGCTTGGCCCATGCATTGCAATGATAATACTATTGTCTGAAGTCTGCACCCCTTCACCACCAGATATCACTACACACATATCAGATAAAATAAAAAAAATAATGACACTACCAAACGCTAACATAGATACAGAGAAAGAGTCACTCATATATCACCACTGGAATATAAAATGGTTACAGCCATTTTAGAACACAGCCTGGCAATTCCTCAGGTTAAACACAGAGTCCATATGACCTAGTATTCATGTCTACGCCAAGACTTTTGTACTAATATTGATGTTGTTATGTGTCGTCGAGTCGCCTGTGACTCATAGCAACCTTATGTACAAAGCCCTAAACCCTGCTCTGTCCTATGCCAGCCTCGCTATCTCCGGCACACCCATTCCCATTATTCCAGTCACTGACTCAATCCACATCATAAAGGGTGTTCATCTCCTGAGCTGCACCTCCACCCTCCCAAGCATGAGGTCCCTCTCCAAGGACCTGTCCCTCCTTACAGCATGTCCAAAGTATATCAGACAAAGCCCCAGAATCCTTGCCTCCAAGGAACAACCTGGTTTAACCCTCTCCAGGATAAATCTGTTTGTTTTCTTGGCAGTCCACAGTATATTCAATACTCTTCTCCAGCACCACAGCTCAAAGGCATCAATTCTCTTTCGATCATCCCTAGTCATAGCCACCTCTCCGATGCACAGCAAGTAATAGCAAAGACGTGGCATGTATCAGGCGCACCTTAGTCTCCAGAGAGACACCACTGCTCTTAAGTACTTTGGAGAGGTGCCTAACAGCAGACTTTCCCATCATGATACATCTTTTAATTTCCTGGCTGCTGGTGCCAAAAGTGTTGACTATAGAGCCAAGCAAACTAAAGCTGTTAACAATCTCAATCTCTATACCATCCATCCTGATGCTGCCAATTGGCCCAGTGGTGAGAATCATTGTCTTTCTGATGTTGAGCTGCAATTCATATTGATGGCTGAAGTTCTTGACCTTCTGCAACAAGTGCTTCAGGTCCTCCTCAGTTTCAACAAGCAGGGTTGTGTCAGATTGTTGATAGATCTTCCACCAATCCTGACACCACATTTCTCCTCATAGAGCCCAGCCTCCCAGATAATCTGTTCTACATACAGGTTGAAAAGGTATGGAGATAGGACACATCCCTGGCGTATACCCTTCTCAATTTTCAACCATGCAGTAGAGTGCTGCAAAGACAAAGCAGAGCGAGAATTCAAGATATTAAAGAGCTGAATAGATTTCAAAAGGCAGTGTGGGAAAACAAAATAAAATATCACAGTGAAATGTGCAAGGAGCTGGAGTCAGAAAATCAAAAGGAATGAACTCACTCAGCATTTCTTAAGCTCAAAGAACTTAAGAACAAATTCAAACCTCGAGTTGCTATACTTAAGGATGCTTTGGAATTGGAAAACAGAGAAGAATTTCATGAAACATATGAGCAAGAGCCTATGGTGATGAAAGAAGTTGAAGCTGCTTTGAAGGAATTGGCAAAAAATAAGGCCCCAGAAATAGACAGTATACCAACTGACATATTCCAACTAACAGATGCTGCCCTAGATGTGCTCATCAAGTTGTGTCAAGAAATCTGGAGGACAACCACTTGGCCAACTGACTGGAGGAGATCTATATTTGTCCCCACTCCAAAGAAAGTTCACCCAACAGAGAGTGGAAATTATCGAACAATATCATTGATATCACATGCAAGCAAGATTCTGCTGAAGATTATCCAAAAACGACTGGAACAGCACATCAACAGAGAACTGCCAGAAGTTCAGGCTGGGTTTAGAAAGGGTCGTGGTACTAGGGATAGTGTAGCTAATGTTAAGTGGATCTTGGCTGAAAACAGGGAGTACTAGGACTGTCTATCTGTGTTTCACTGATTATGCAAAAGTGTTTGACTGTGTGGATCACAACAAACTGGCTGACTCTGAGAAGAATGGGAATCCCAGAACACTTGGTCATGCTAATGAGAAACCTATTAATACTGATAGTTTTATTTCTAGTAACCAAAAACTGAAAACAACTAAAATGTTGTTCGCCGAGTAAATGGTTAAATATCAAAACAAAAAGAAAAGGTCTATTCATGAATCCAATCTTGGATGAGAGAATTTTCCTGAATGAAAAATTACAATCTCAAAAGATTACAAATAATGTGATTCCATTTATAATTATTTTTGAGATAATAAAACTTTAGAAAGCGAGGGTTTGGAGACACAGAATTCGGACAGAGAGGATTGATTGTACAAGAGAAATTTCGTGGTGATGGAGCAGTTCTGTATCTTGACTGTACTAGTATTGACAAATCTGCAAATGTGATGTTGTAAAACCACACATAAACACTGTGATGTCAGTTCCTTATTCTGTATTATACTTAGGAAAACTAGGTGGACTACCCAAAATACCTCAATATTACTACCTTTACAAATTTCTGTGCATACATAATTATTTCACAATAAAATATTTTTTGGGGGGGCTTTTTTTTAAATTTAGGTTGTTTATTTTTCATTTCAATGAACATCTAAAGAGATTTTGGGATTCCATTCATTCACTGTTGCACCCTTCTCCCCGCAC